CACAGAGAAGCAAGAACATAAGAGAATTTGTGATAGAAGATACGAGATGATGCAGCGATTCGATGAATTGGAAACACAAATTTTTGCCTATGTTATTGATAGTGATATTGGTAGTTGTAGTGTTGCCACCATGTCTCCAACTTGTGGAAATGGAAAACAACGGTTTATAACACTAATCTATATAAATTGCAGGTCTTTTATAAGTTAATTAAATTATGAGAAAAGTATATGTATTGCAGGTTGCTCAAGTGGTTGAGAAGTCAAAGATTACTCCCAAGAAAAATACGAGCCTTTTATTCCTAGAAGATCTACCTCCAACAGATGAACATGAAGAATATCCATGAGAACTGTTTCACATTTCAACACAAAGACAAAATGGGAAAAGAAAAGTAGTAGTATTAAAATTTTCTAAAAATATGAAATGAGACTTTGAGAGTATTAACTATTAAAATCTTAAATCTATATGGCAGGTAGAATAACTTGGAGAGAGGTATGTACGAAAGATTTTGCAAGACAATCTTTGTTAGAAACCGAAGAGGAAGAGCAAACATGTCCGAAGTGTTCAAAAAAGAGTGGAAAAAGTAAATAAATTCCAAGGAGCCCCACCACCTCTCACAGAAGATAGAACCAGAGGGCCACAATGCACCATTAGAGAATATCACGAGGTCAGTGGCAGATAAAAGAAAAGAAAGAAGTACTAACATGAACACGTTCTCCTTCCTAGTTGACAAATGCATGGGTGATGGACATACGATCAAGAATGATCCAAACGTCTTTGGGTTCCCTACAAAAACTCTTTAACAAGGAAATTTGATGCTTAGTCATCAATGTGAGAAGATTACGTTCTCAATCATAGAACTTGGTGCAAGTAATTGTGCAGAAACTATATTTCTTTTTAGATTATTTTTTAAGTTAAAAGTTTACAATTTAATCATTACTCCCTCCGTCCCAAAAAAAGTGTCACCTTTCCTTTTTTGAAAAGAAATATGTGGTCCATGTCATTTCACCTTATTATACTCAAATCTCAACAACAATATTTACCTTTTCAACCACTTTATTATTAATAATTGTGCTAATGTCAAAGGAGACACATAAAATGGGACGGAGGTAGTACTTTATAGAGGTCCCTTCATGAAAAAAAAAACGGTAGACAACGAAGGAGAAATGTTTATCCCAATTGGGACAAGTGTTGTTATACCACGCCCTAAAAAAGCATTTGAAGAGTTAATGAATAGAAGGTATTATTATGTGGTAGACCTTCTCGGAGTCGGGTTACCAGGGAAAATTACACTAATACCATATAATACACGGTATTACTTGAAAAATGTCTCTTGTTCAGTGACGAATTTGGAATTCAAGTTTTAGGAGTTCAATTATTTTATAAAACTAGAAATTTGAAGAGTAATAAATAATTATGTTAAATTTACAATAGATACTTACATGTCTTTCAAAAAATAGGATGTTCATGTAAACACTTTAGAACCACCGTAGCTCTGCCACTGCTCTTGTTATTGTTGTTTTTATGTGATGGTAATTGTCAAGGACTTTGCCCATACAGGGACCACTAGGTTTTGGTTGCTATTGAAGTGGATATGAGAATGATGTACTATTTGGATTCGATTAAAGAAATTCCACCAAAAGATCAAAAGATAATTGTTACCCAGCTAAGCCATAATCTACAAAAAAGGACACGCTTCTTTGTTTTTCTATACTATTGAGAGATTATATGTACTGCATTTTGTTTGTTTCTGTATACAACGACTGAATTACTTTGTTACTAATCATGTTTGAACTGGATCACCATCAAAGTATATCCATTTCATTTAATGGTTTTTTTTCAATTATATTAGTTATAGAACTTTTAAAGTAACAAATTTAAATTTAAATGTGTGTAATGCCCAAAGCAAAGAGGATCACTGGAGTGAAAGTACTTCATAATGAAGAACATCAAAGATATTGTTAATGATGTCGATGTGTTGTAGAATAATGCGAGTCAAACTTGTTCATTTAGTCATGTTCATAGGTAGTAATGTCGTAATATAAGGTTGAAATTTCAAATACTGTTTCCATTTGACATTTGGCTACTATTTGTTCTTAATAATGGAAATTAGAATTGTACACATTTATTGTCTGGATTCTTAGAGAATGAGGTTGTGGGATTATTGTGTTTGCTCGAGGATGTATTTACTAGAATTAAATCCTTTATATAAAATATAGGCTTTGAGGCTTCATCTTTTTTCCTATGCAAGAAAATTATTTTAGGTTCTCATTCCTGTTATTGGTATTGTGTTGTTAAGGAAATGTTAAGTTTGTATTTTAGTGTTGTTTTATATCTCTACTGTCAATGAGTACTCTGAAGATGATATTCTACAAACACGTGAGGAGTAGGTCTCGTAAGAAACTAACCTAATCAAAGAATAAGCTGAAATTTTAGTTATTGAGATAAGTGTGTTAAGAAGAATGCAGATTTCACTGGTTAGGGTTGCCTTGAGTATGAGGATTGATATAAAGTTGTCATCATTTTGAAAGACTTTAGTGATGAACATGATGATAAGTTGTTGGTGTTTCACTTAGCTTGTATGTAATGACTGCTAAACAATGTGGAAGGATATAAAAACGCCATGTATTATAATATTTTAACTTAATTGCCTTCTGATTGAAATTTAAGCTGAAATATTGTGAGCATAATCCATACTTGATGAAGAATATGCTCACAAAATTTCATTAAACAATTTCACCACAAAGAATCTCAAACGGGCTTGGGCGTACGGCACTCCAGATCAATCCATACTTATGAGATAAATTTTATATCTCATTTTTTATTGTAGTTATGTTCTTACCAAATTTTCACTTCAAAACGTAAAAAAGTAAAGTATTAAAAAATACTATAGGAAAACTGAGTTTTGCGTATGTTAACAATTACTCCCTCCGTCCCGCTAACAATGGGACAAGAGGGAGCGGCACGCAAATCAATAAAAAATGGTTTATGTGGTTGATATTGAATTGATAAAGTAAGAATAAAGTAAGAATGATTTAGAGCCACACAACTTTGCCAAATTTGGTATGGGACAATCTTAGTGGGACGGACCGATAAGGTAAAACGGGACAATCATAGCGGGACGGAGGTAGTACAAAATTACTCATTCAACATTCACAAAATATAGTACACTTCAAATCTTCAATTGTGCTTGGTTTATCATATTGCACGTTTTTACTCAACCTACGAGTATTTGATATATCTTTTTTGTGACTTGAGTGATATACAAAGATGTTTTTCAAAAAAAATACTGAAATGAAACTTATTTACAAAAATATGACTAGAAATTATTATAGTATAGTGTCATCGTCATTAAAAGCAAAAATTGAACATACATTACAAAGAATGAAAGTACTACTCGAAACTATATTAACTACACTTAAGTAATCACATGTTCATAAACAATTTTTAATTTAGTCATAAATTTGTAATTATTTCATATAAATATCCATGAATATAATACGTAGTATTTAAATACTCAATATTAAATACTCCATACTATTTAGTACGATAGTATATTTTTGTATAGGGCCTCAATAATCCTAAAGATGGCCCTGATAAAACCTTGATAAGCGGGAGTGATTGAAGTCGATTTACTAGGTGTACTTAAAAGTTTCTCATGTTATAGATTTTGAGGTCAAGTCATCAAGCAAGTGAATTTGAGAGAATCAAATAATAATCATCTAGCCCAGGGTGGAGATAGGGAGGGGCTGGAGGGGGTCTCGGCCCCTGCAAGAAAAAAAAAATCTTATGTAAATATTATGTATAAATACTTTTAATCTATAGAAAATATGTTGATATTTTAAACTTTGGTCACTGCAATGTAAATTTTTTAAGGACCGGCTCCTTTAACCATAGATTTTTGTCTCCGCCACTGAGCTAGCCCTGAACTAGCTCAAGTAATGGTTCAATCATTATTTGATCTCACCTCATGCAACAATGTGGGAATTAACTTCATACTTATAATCGAGTGGTGTTTGACCAATTAGCGTGGTTCTCCCAAAGCTATATTGGGAGCTTGAAACACGTAAAATCAATAAGTTAACAATCAATTCTTATATATAAATGACGATGAGAATCTATAAACAATTCGTATTTACATCTTTAAGTGGTCTGAAATGAATTTTCTGGAGATTAAGATTAGTTGGCAAAATAAGAATTATTTAGTGTTAACAGAAAAATCTTACTACTTGCACCAATTTCTAGAGTATTTGTTTAATGGTGCCTTTGTTGGCTTATCCTATTTACCATTTAGCATCAATTTTGCTACTTACACCCACTCTTATACTCACTCTTATACTCACATTCGTGAGATGCCATTCACCCTTATACTCACATTCGAGAGATGCTATTTTTTGTCTGTGAATCTTTTAGGTTACCTGTTGAACAAAGATCCACTTGTTTTTCTGCCTGTTTTAATCTCTTACTATGGATCACTCTCTTTCCAAGAATCTTATGTTTTCAGATCTTAAGTTTGATGACTGGAGGATCCGGATGAAGACACATCTATGTGCTATTCATGATGAAATGTAAGAAGTACTTAACCTAGGGTCATTCACCAACTTCTAGAAGGTGAACCCTGATCATGCTATTGACAACAAATAGCCACAGATGATCAATAAAGCCAAATCTGAGTGAACCGCTGAAGAAAGAAGGAAGTACAATGTGGACAACATTGTCAAAGACATTCTCTACAAGTCCATTGGTGACAGATACTTCAACAGACTTAAGAAGTGCAAAACTGCCAAAAAAATATGAGATACTTTTGAGCTCATTGGAGTTGATAATGAGCAAGATAAGGATAACAAATTAACCATAGCCAACAAGAAGTTTGATAACTTTAAACTTGAAAGCATTTCATACACAAAATAGTCATGTTTTTATTTGTGAAAGTGTCTGTTTTGTGTGTGAGCATGATTTGCCAACAAATCTTGACAGAGGGGATACTTGGGTACAAACAACATTTTTAATTTAGCATAGAGCGGTAGAGGCGTAGACTTACAAATCTTGGTCCAAATCTTGATGAAAGGGAGACTGGGACAGTCCAAAACAGTCTATATTGGAAAAAGCATAAAAAATAAAGAAGTGGGCGTTGACGCGGTGAACCGGGAGTATTCCTCCTCTGATTTGCCGGGCAGGCACGAAACGTATAAACGCACTTAAAAATCCCAACTGCCAAAACCGAACCGCGTCAACCATTCTCACGTCTTTCAATATCTGGATGAACCTGCCCTTTGAAACTCTCATACTTCATTAATTCCTTAATAACAACTCCGCCTCCATATCTAACCAACTGACCGATTCTTCACCAGCTATGGCTTCTTCTGTACACTTTCACTCCATCCTTGCTCTCACAATCCTTGCTCTTGTGCTTCCATGGCCTGCCACCAGCGATATTGCTCTTCCACCTATCTTGTCCTCCATTTTTGGTAACTTCCCTTAATTTCTCTGTTTCTTCATGCTCTTATTTGCTTCTCTAGTTCTCTTTGTGTATTCATTATCTGCTGTATTTGTTCAATGAACTGATTTTATTCGTTCTAGTCATAGCAGTTGGTGGATTTTGATTTGCAGTTTGTGAAAAGGTAGAATCTTTGTTGCTATTTCTGCGTTTATTGGTCTTGAGAGTTTGTTTTCATGATTCTTGCGTTAGACCCGCTGATGGATTGGATTCGTTTTTAAGCGTATGATTCTTGAAAAGGAGTAGTCTACTATTTTAAATTCGGGATGTGCCTTTGTAGTTTAAGTGTTTAACATTCAGTAGAGCAGACTAATCTTTTAATTCTGTATAACTACTCGTTTTGAGTTTTAGGCCAGATCAATTTCTTAAGTTTTATTCTAAAAGGTCAGTTGCTTTGGAGCACAGTCCAATAATGGCCTATATGGGAATTGTGTTTTTATACTTGACAGCTTCCCTGGTGTGTACAGTTGAGTGAACTCAAGGTTTTTGGAATTATGAGTATATTAGTTACTATAATGATTTTATTTTCCGTGGTTGGGTGCATATATCGGCAGATAATGTGTGCGACAAAGGAGGACTGTGTGGAAAAGGGAAATGCAAGGAATCAACGAATAGCATTTTAGGTTATGAATGTGAATGTGCAGCTGGATGGAAACAAACTCGATCTCAAAACGATACTTTCTTCAAGTTTATGCCTTGTGTAATCCCCAACTGTAAGTGCTTTTTTGTGTCATACAAGTATTTTATCTCTGCCCGGTTGTTTGATTAGTATCTCTAAGCGATACTTTCTTCAAGTTTGATTAGTATGGTATTCTCTGTAATCCCCAACTACCAATAGTTTAATTAGTATCAACAATTAAAATTTACATATTTAGAAACAACATTAACATCTGTATGAAACTGCCAATAGTTTCATTTGATGAAAAAATTGATATGTAAAATCAGAGACTAAAGTAGAGATAATTTAAGAGCAGTAATACTTAAACACTGAAAATGCTAAGGAAAGAAAAATGGTATGGGAAATTATTGTCTGATGTTTGGGTTTACTGAAAATGGAAAGGAAGGAATATTATTGGTTTTAAATTTTTTTACATGCCCTTAGGTATGTCTTTGCATAACAGAGATAAAGAAATAAAATGAGTACCACCAAATATCTAAAACAGATCAATATTTTGTTTCCCCTCGTTTTTTCCTTTTGGTCCAAATTTTCTTTATGATTTTCTACCTATGGTTTTATTGTACAGTCTATACTGATCATTGATTTCTTTTCCATTAAGGTTCTGTTAATTACTCTTGTGGAGAGGGAGAAGCACCTGCTCCTGCACCTGCTAAAAGAGCCGATCGTTCAATTAGTTCAATCTCTGATCGTAAATACAAATTACTTTTCACTAATGTTGTACTGCACTTATAAAATTGTGAAACATCTTTTCTTATAAGACATACCTTTCAATGTTGTGACATTCGGTCATGTAGCTTGCAACTGGGCAGACTGTGGAGGGGGAAAGTGCAACAGAAACTCTACACTTTCATTAACCTATACTTGTGAATGCAAAGAGGGTTACTTCAATCTGCTCAATTCCACTGCTCTCCCGTGCTTTAAAGCTTGTAAGACCACTCAAAATTCCTTTATGAATGAAAACAAGGTGTCATTTGGTGACTCATGTTTTCTGTGGTTTAACTTTGTGGGTTATTTCCTACGGAGTATAACATTACTAAAATAGAGTTTATAGGAAAAACGTTGGCTTAGTCATTGCAGGCAGTGTGAAAATACCACCACCGTTGCTGCGTGTTGAATTGGACATCACCACAGTCGATATAATCACTGAGAAAATACCATTATCGTCATTACATATTAAAGATCAAATTTTGACCATTTTTTTGCTTTAGTCATATATTTTTCGTTATTAAAACATAAACAAGAAAATATGGTTGGCAGTAGTTTTTTGTCTTTCTGTTTCTGAAAACAAAAACAGTTTTTTTTTTATTATTGATGGAACACATAGTATCTAAAACATCTTTCCAGCTTTAAACATGTACTTCGATTTCTATAAAAGTCATGTGTTATCATACTATGTAACACAAGTCATATATCCAGAACTGATCCACTAAACATGTCTGTATATATTTAAGGAATTTGCAAAGAAAACAGGAAAAAAAAACTTTGATAATGGAAACATAAAACACAAAGGCTGGAGACTTTACCGAACAGACCCTAATATTCCAGTTTTGTTTGTGTATGAATAACATCAGCTTATGATCTGTCAATTATATACACATTTAGGTGCACTTGGAATGGACTGTAATAATCTAGGGTTTGGTTTGCCAAATAACTCAAGCACTCCTCCATCCCCAAGCTCATCTGATAGTAATGAAGGTGAGAATTCTTTCACTATTGCTGATCAGGTTTCACAGTTCTATTTATACAGTGAAGTTCAGCTGTGTTGAAATGAACTAATTTGTTCTTTCACTGTGTACTGCTATTGTAATACAAGTGGACTAATTAGATACATTTTGTTCTTACAATCAAAACCAGCTTGCTCAATCATCATGGGAGGTGGATTTTTCTGGAAGGTTATTGCAGCAACATCGCTGCCCATATTTTTCTTGAATTCGATGTAAAGGATGGATGATATTTATACCTACTATACATGAATGAATAAACAAAACAAGATAAAGAATAGTTACTGTGGTAGATTTTGGGTTGTATAGAGTTACCAAATCTTTGTTGTCCCACATTAGAAAAATAAGTAGAGTTGCTTTGAATGTAAGTGCCCACCTCGCTCCATTAGTATGAAGCCTTTTGAGAGGTTCCCACGGTCCGAGCAATCTTTATGAGCATTTTGATTTATCATGTTTTGCCTTTTTTGTATTCTCATGCATTCATACTTTTGGTTTTGGCTCTATTTTTAATATCAGATATTGAGGTTGGTGTTCATATTCATGGATGGAATATTTTCTTTTATTACTGCAATATATGTTTGTTTGCCTGTCATGTATGCATTTATAGATAAGCTGTGCAAAAAAGTGGGATGCGGAAAAGGGAATTGCAAGGCATCAGGAAATAGTATTTTAGGTTATGAATGTGAATGTGATCCTGGCTGGAAACAAACTCTTCTTCAAAGTGACAATTCCTTCAAGTTTCTGCCTTGTGTTATCCCCAACTGTAAGTTCACATAGGTGGTCTTCTCTTCACCTTTTTTATGGATTATTACTGTTTTACTAAATTCGGATCACACAAGACCAGAAATATCCAGACCATATTAGATAAAAAAAGTTGTACATATTCAAAAACATTCTGATCAGACCGAGCCACACCAGAAAGATTCATACCCGACCCGAAAGATTTAAACTACACCATACAGAAACATTTAGACCAGTTAGATCAGACCATTCTAGACCTTACAAAAATCCAAATCAGATCCACTTTTAGGCCATAAGGACTGGCAGGGACGGAGCCAGAAATGTATTGTTAGGGGGGGTTGGGCTTGACGATTTACACTGCAGGGGGGGGGGGGGGGGGGGTTTAAAACATCAACATACTTATTATAGATTAAAAATATTTGTACATATATATTTCATTAGAACTTTTTCTTGGAGAGCCCCCCTCTAACCCCTCCCAGTCTCTGCCCCTGGACTTGTCTTTGCTCTCTGCCATATTTACTTTAGTTATTACTTCAGTACTAAGTTTGGTTTTCTTGTCAATTTTTAGTTTTTTATAAAGATGAGATATAAAATGCGCAACAGTGGTTTAACTTAAAAAATTCAGATAATAAAAGGATGACTTAAAAAAAAGCAGAATTTTAAGAAGTGTTGGCATTATCTTTTGGACAATTTTATGAAACGTTTAGAAATTTTACTTAAAAATATATATTCTCATACAACATATATATTCTCATAATTAATCATAAATTATGAGAACAAACTTCAAAGCATTTTTATTATACATATTTGAGAACAAAAGCAGGTAATTTTGAAACATAAACCAAATGAACCTGTGACTTCTCAGTGAAAGTATTGCTTGTTTTTCCTCCTCTTATTAAAGGTCAATGATTTTTATTACGCAGTATTATGGGATTAAGGTATTTCATTTCTTTTAGGTTCTATAAACTTTTCGTGCGGGGAAGACGCTCCTGCCCCTGCTGCACCAGATAAAAGAGCCAATCGTACATCTTTCTTTGAGCGTAACTACAATTTCCCCCTTTTCTGCTAATGTTACATAACTCGTCAAATTATGAAAGTTCTTTTTTAGTTGTTATCTTCAAATTTGTGTGTTGTGGACCTTTGGTATTGTCTAGCTTGCTATTGGGCCGAGTGCGGTGGGGGATCATGCATGCAGACTTCTGCACTAACCTACACTTGTGAATGCAGCAAGGGTTACTCAAACCTTCTCAATATCACAGGTTTCCCTTGCTTCAAAGAATGTAAGGCTCCCTTCTGTCTACGTGAAAATATGTTCATGATGCTTTTTCATAAATGGGCAAAATCATATTATGATTTGGGGTTTCATGCTAAAAGATAAGTCTAGGAGTAGTAGTAGATAGAGTTTTACATATTGGTTTAATACTCTAGCTCAAATCCTTTTATGGATTTCCCTCAAAAAAAAATCCTTTTATGGATTAGAAACAGTAAATACTAAATAGGCTTTAAAACTGACCTTTCTGCTATTCTTTCGTGCAAATAAACTTTAATGACTGCTGACTGCTCTATGGTATGCATTCAGGCGCACTTGGATTGGATTGTAACATGACAAATAAATCATCTAGTCCTCCAACTGCAACACCCAGCCTACCTCATAATAATAGCAACAAAGGTGAGGTTTTCGTGTGCTGCTCATCACTAGAGAATCATTCTTATGGTTATATATAGAGAAAAGGGGCAAATAAGCCCACGTACTAACCAAAAAAGGTCAAATAAGCCCTTATATAGGAGGCTATGTCTGGCCGTCGCCATTTGGGGCAGTTCCCGGTGGAAATTTTTTATGCAATTTTTTGAGCATATTATGAATTAAGTCTAGTTTACTCATACCAAATTTCAGATAAAACTTTAATCGGGAAGGCACTCAAATGAATTCTTGAAGATAACTGCGCAGTTAAATGCGCAGTTATCTTCAAGAATTTATTTGAATGCCTGTCCAATTGAATTGTTAGCTGAAATTTGGTATGAGTAAACTAGCCTTAATGAATAAGATTCTCAAAAAATTTAATCAAAAAATTCCACCGGGAACTACCCCAAATGGCGACGGCCGGACAGAGCCTCCTATATAAGGGCTTATTTGACCTTTTTTTGTTAATACGTGGGCTTATTTGTCCCTTTTCCCTTATACGAAGTATATATCATCCATCCCTTATTACTTAGTCATCTTTGACTATGTTGGTCAATGAATTTTGTATTCAAAATTATTTATAATTTGAAAAACAATATGAAAATGTTCTTGGTTGATAGTAGTCTCATAAAAGCATAAAGTTTATAAATTTCACAAAAATAGATTACTACAAAGATAGCCTACTTTTAAGGGACACAGTATTTATTCATTTACTTCTATGATTCATTTGTAAGTACTAAGTATTGAAAGATGTTCTTTTGGTCACTGGGTTTGAAAGATTGGCTTACTTAGGGTAAAATGTCATTAGCATACTTATGAAGAATTGAGCTTTATTCTTAAAGGTCAGTGACTGCAGTAATAGTGTCACTTCGCTATGTAATATGTAGCTGATGTTAGACCAAGTAAATGGATTTTTACCCTCAAGCCATTATTTTCTATTTAATAATGTTGGTTTGCTAAAAGATACACTTTCCTGATATATGACAGTTTAGCTATAAACATCAATCCATTAATTACAACTAAAAGATGCCACCACAACATAAAATTAGGCCAACACTCCATCAAATGAGGAAAACAGGGTCTTACTTCTATCTTCATAAAGAGACCATCTTTTAGCCATACATATGGACATGTGATAATTAATTTCCTCAGAACTCTTCATTTAGTATATGAAATATGGACTACTTTTGATATGAAGTTTACATTTTATGTGTAACCCGAAGTATTAATATTGCCCATCCCTCTTGAGGATATCAATCATCTGCCGTTAATTAAAAGAAAAATGATGTTTGTACACACTTTTGTACACACTTTTGTACACACCGTTGTCTGTGAAAGCTTTTTTATTTGTCTGTGAACATCGATTCACAGACAATGTTTTGCACAAACAAAATATTGTCTGTGAACCGGATTCACAGACAAAAAAAAAAGCTTCACAAACATGGTGTGTACAAGGTGTGTACAAGGGTGTGTACTGTAATTAAAAATATGCAATCCTCTTGGTCATTGATTTACAAGTGATCTGTAGAGAGTTATTTGAGTTATAATCAATCTTGTTTTTAACAGCTAGCGGCTTTATCGACGGAGGCGGCCTTGTCTTAAAATCAGTTGCAGCAGTGTCACTAGTCATGTATTTTTTGAAGTAGAGAGATGTTGGAGTGGTAGAGATTCTACATATGCATCTATCACCACTCGATTTGTTAAGGCTTAGATCTTTTTTCTTTCATATTTTTAGGGATATTTTGACATTGTGCCTCGCTTTTTGGGTGATATTGGACTATGCACTCAATTTTTAAAACTTTTTGACTTTGCACCCTATTTTTCCTAAAATGTCTTTGCCTTTGCACCTTATTCAGGAATTTTTGTCACAAAATGTTGTACGATAGGGTGCAAAGTCTAAAAGTTTTGAAAATGAAGTGCAAAATCTAATATCCCCGAAAAGTATGGTGCAAACTCAAAATTCCCTTATTTCTTATTTTAGTGTAGTTTCTGAATATATAATTCTTTTTTTTGTAAAAATAATTTGAGTGCGGACAGGGATTCGTTTGCTTTATTGTCGATCAAACATCGTAAATTGTAATTTGTCTTATAATTCGGGACGGAGGGAGTATATGATATATAGGACAATGAAATACTTGGGGACTAGGGTAAGGAACCAATGATTTTAATGAGTATGTAACATGTTTATTAGTGAACACGTAAGGTTAACATATTAAGCACATATGTTAAATAAGTACATTAAATTAATACAGAAGAATTAATCCATCCATTACACAATAAGGTCGTCCTTGTTTCGGTTTACGATGTTTGACTAGTCATAAAATTACCGGATTCCTCTCAATAAAAAGATTATTTCCAGTAAATAAAATTTACATACTTAGAAATTACATTAAAAAAATTATAAGGTCGCAAAAAAGAACTTAATTATGAACTAACATGTGCATTATTGAGCATGTTACATGCTCATTAAACTTATTGGTTATGGGGTGGTAAAATTAGCTAATAATGTGAGAAAACTGTACCATATGATCCATATCCATCCCTTATTCACTCCCTCCTAGGCATGGACCGGTTCCGGTTCGGGCCCGGTTCAGGCCTGGGCCTGGCCGGGCCTCGGTTCAAGAAGGGGAGGCCCGGAACCGGCCCGGGTAACCCCTTATAAGAAAACTACGTAGCATTTTTATTTTTAACTTCTAAATGACATTTTCCCGATAATGTTAACTATCTCAGCAAGTTGTCAATTCAATTAAATATAATAGATGTAAGATTTTTTCAGTAATCACTAATACATAAATAAACAATTAATAGCATTGGCAGTGGCCGAAGCTTTAGATCAACAAAAACATAACATTAATGCAATATCTTATGCTTTTGTTTAATTTCATTTACAATATGGCCATGAGGTTTGTATTTCATTTTCTTAGAAAAATGAAATATCTTGACCGCATAACATAAAAAAACATAACATTAATGCAATATCTTATACTTTAATTTCATATTATAAATGGTCATTAGGCATAATGTGTTCTTAGATTATAAATGGGCTTGACCGCTTGACCATTACTTCCCATACAACTCCAATCCTGCAAATGGGGCGTGTGAAATACACATGAATGGGCCCGGGATCGGTTGATAACTTAGTAGCATCCAAGAATGTGTAGATTGGGCCTAATCCATTAGTGAATATTTTCAGCCCATAGTGTGAGTGTGTCTTTTCAGCCCATGGGGTCTTTGTGTTTTATGTATAAATTATTAATTTGTATGACCTTCGTCCTTTTTATTTAGTCAACTTTGACTTTTACGATTAAAGATGATAAATTTTGATCCATTATTTTAACTAATATAGTTACGTGAAATTTAATAAATTTGTATTTTTATAATAGTATTTTTAACAAAAAAAAATTATATATCATTTTTATATTATCCCGTTTACAAATATATAATCAATCAAGGTTTAATATCATTGAACTGAAAAGTCAAATTTGACTACATAAAAAGGAATATGGGAGTATTGTATGGTGGATCATTAGGTGTAGGTAGAAAAAATGCTAGGGTGTGTGGGTATACATATTTTTTTCTTATAACTTTTACATATAAAATTACGGTAAACAATGCCGCTACATTCACACCTCTCAGTAGTTAAGATGCATCAACTCATCACAAACAATGAATATGAAAGAAAGAAGATAGAAGGGGGAGTTTTCGTATGGATAGAGGAGAGGGAGGGAGGGAGGGGTTAAAAAAATTGAATTCTTATATAGGGTGTCACAAGGTGTATACAAAATTGTACACCTTACATTTTGTATCGAAGTAATATGTGTAAAGACCCGGGCCGTCTAGAGCAAATATGAGGCCCTAAATGGTCATATAGACATTTTATGTTAAAAAAAACAGCATAATAAAAAAATAGAATATCCGTTAAATAGATGTAAATTACATATGAAAAGATTCATACATTACTTTTAACGTAATGAGAATATTCTTCTTCTTTTGCGAAAGATTAAAATATGATAAAAAATACATCCTCACGCTCATTCTCAAACACGACATTTGAACTCTCGTTCTCAATAATATTTGAGGGAGAAGGTTTCGTGGTTACATACCGATAACCTCCATAGAGCCGGTAGCAATTTTATAACTAAATCATTTCTTAATTTTTTCTTTCTCTGTGTACATCTCGAAGCATGATTTTGTTTTCCCGTCATCATAAATCCTACTAAATAAGTTATTCATAAATTAAAATTGAATCCACTATTTTTAATTGCGTATTAGAGATTATAAACCTTCAATATATCTATCAATCAAATCAGAACTTACAATTTCAATATATTGAGCTACCGGTGGGCGTAGCTCAACTGGTAGCGAGGGAGTGCCACAAGGGTTAGGTCCCGGGTTCGAATCCCGGCAACTTCGATGAGGGGTTACTATGCCAAAATGTATAGGGCCTCTGCAAGTACCGGGGACAGAGCCCCACTCTCTATCTGTCAGATTGGGATTATAGTCCAATTTACATCCTCCCAACGTACCGTCCGGTCAGGGTTGGGGGGCCTTCTGGGGTGTCATATAACAATTTCAATATATCAAAATACTTATAATATACCCTAAATCCCCAAGCCCAATGTCCAAACCAAGTCAACCGACTAACATTTTTAAAAAGTAAACGATTTACTCGTAAACAATAAAATAAGGAGTAACATGAAGATCCTTCAAATCAACTAAATCAATTACTGAATTAATAATTAATAAAGTTAATAAAAGCCAGGAGTGCAGACCTTAGACCTAAAGACCTTTATTTTGTTAGGCCGATTGGGGATTGCAGAATGGGCCAAGCCGGCAAGGGTGAAGCCGTGAAGGGGGAAGGGATTGCCGCTGTGTGTTTATCGGTCTTTTCAAAAAGGTAGTCATATGCTTCCACCTTTAATTTGACCTTTGAGCTTCCGCCTTCGTCTTAGTCAAGCAGGGCCTTCTGCAGATTTGCCATAGTAATAGGTTTATTTTAAAAATCGGAGCCCCCTAAATTTTGGAGGCCCTAGACACTAGTCTCGGCTTCCTGTCCCCATAGCCCGCTCTCGTAAAGATCCGGACTTTCATCCTAAAAAGTCAATCTAGATGTTGTGGTTTAGTCCTGAATGACCTGAACGACCAATACTAACTTTGGATCTTGGGTTAAACTGTTATAGTAATGTGTATAAAAGGAAATATAAAATCTGACTTAACTATTTAAACAACTCAGTTTGTATTAACACAGTAATAACAATTACACAGAAATGACTGAGCGCTAATTATGGTTTAAAGGCTAATACGAAAGCTAGGATGCAATATAAGTTTGTGAGTTCATAAAATCTAACCCTTACAATGATTTAACAACTGCTATTTATACTAAATGGAGGCATGGTGTGCCCTAATACGATTGGTTGCTTTCCATGCCACTTGAGACCCCCATGATCCAGCATTAACTCCAGTCGGTCACATCCCGTTCGGGTGGTGCTGAACGGGCCTTGCCTTTAAGCAGACCGTTTGGGCCCAACGATCTCTTCTGGACTATCCTTTGTATTTTGGGCCTTAAGAATGTGCCGAACTCCCGTTCAGGATCTATGACCTCTGGGCTTTCCCTGGTGCCTAGGCTTTTAGGGATATTTTGGGCCGCCATATTGGGCCGGACCTCAATATCCTATCACGAGTCCCCCACTCCCTTATGTTCCGATCGTGTTTGGGACATAAGGAAGTACAACAATCTTTCCGTCGTTCTGTGTAACCCGTGCGGGACCCTTTAATGGAGTCTGCGTGCTCCTGATATGATGGTTCAAGTTTCTTTAACGACTGTTGCTTATGTTCCCCATAAAATCGTCATGATTACCCGTTGTTTCGACTCTGCTCGACATGTGTCCCCTGAATTGTTTCTCGCTACGTGCCCCCTGGGATTGGTTTGTGAATCGGCGCCTTTTAGTATAAAGGTGGTTTTTGGGCCTTTACCCCTGGATTTCCCTAGGATTGGTCCGTGAATCTGCCTTCTCCCCAAAATCCTAACTTTATTCTTCGCTCAGGTAATCGCCGGTCCTTTATCTTCTTTTCATTTCTGTTTTTTGGTTCGGTGTAAATGTCGACGAGCTTTGGATCTTCGGAGCCTTCAATCGTTGAACCGGGTCAGGATTCTGAGATGAACGCCACTTTGGCCAATACCGCGGGCACGGACGCCGCCGCAAAGAATGTGGCCGGAGATGCCCCTTCTACTAACGGTTCTGAAGAGGAATGCTCCAGCAATTCTTCTAGTGGGTCTTCGGATGATAACTCTGATAGTGCGGCCTATGGCGATGATATAGCAGTGATGAAGAGAGGCCCTCTGAACAACAGCCCTCGTCATTTTCTGGACTTGAGGTCCATTAAAAGACGAAGGCAAAAACTCTCGCCCAAACTCACAGCCCAGATCCCTGCCCTAATTCCTAACCCAGTTGATTTTCACCTTCACGCAGGTCTCCAACCCTTGTGCCACCGCCCTGGAATGGTGGTGGTGCATCTCAATTCGGTCAATGCCGGGTTAAGATTCCCATTGCACCCCTTCTTTGTGACCCTTCTAAATCACTACCAAGTAGTTCCGGTTCAAATAATGTCGAATTTCTATCGAGTCATTGTCGGGTTTATCTGCCGCTGCAAGGATGTGGATGTGGAGCCCACCTTGGACCTCTTCCATCACTTTTTCAAAATTGTCCCTCAACAAACTGATGAATTCCTGGGAGTGAGTGCCCGAACGAAAAGGATCCTTTTCAAGGGGAACTTTACCTCCATTAAAGGGTGGAAATACCGTCTTTTCTTTGTCTCCGTCTCGAACGGCCTTATCCCAAAGAGGTGGAATGCTTATCCCCCCAAATCCACCAAGCCCTGCATGTCGGTCGAGTTAGAAGAGAAGATTATCGTAGTGGAAAGGGCCCGGACGCTGGATATCATGAAATATTTGACCATCGATCAGCTCGTGGAAGCTCGGATAGGTACCACCCGTATTCTTGGTCACCTTGACTGAAAACCAAGTGCCATGGGTTGGGCGGTCCTTCTCGTGCGAGAAACTTACATATCATGCTCGTTTCACACACGTTAAGACCGCTCAGTACTAACATTCTCCTTTTCTTTTGTCTACAGCCCCCAACACCGAAGCAACAATGAATAAGAATCGCCTTGAGACGATGGGTGCAGCAAAAAAGAAGA